AGTGCTTGCATGTTGCATTAGTGTTTTGTAAGTGTTGCATGTGGCATGAGTGTTGTGACGTGTTTGCATGTGCATTATTAGTGTTGAAGTGTTGCATGTTGCTGTGTTTGTGAGTGTTCGCATGTGCATGAGTGTGACGTGTTGCAGTTGCATGAGTGTTGTGAGTGTCTGCTGAGTGTTGACGGAGTTTTGTGTTCAATTGTGTTGTGAGTGCTGCATGTTGCTTGAGTGTTGTGAGTGTACGAGTGTTGCTGAGGTTGTGAGTGTTTTGCATGTGCATAAGTGTTGTGAATGTTGCATAAGTGTTGTGAGTGTTGCATGTTGCATAAGTGTTGTGAGTGTTGCATGCTGCATGAGTGTTGTGAGTGTTGCATGAGTGTTGTGAGTGTTGCATGAGTGTTGTGAGTGTTCCATGCTGCATGAGTGTTGTGAGTGTTGCATGTTGCATGAGTGTTGTGAGTGTTGCATGCTGATGGTGTTGTGAGTGTTGCATGAGAGTTGTTGTGAGTGTTGCATGTTGCATGAGTGTTGTGAGTGTTGCATGTTGCATGAGTGTTGTGAGTGTTGCATGTTGCATGAGTGTTGTGAGTGTTGCATGTTGCATGAGTGTTGTGAGTGTTGCATGTTGCATGAGTGTTGTGAGTGTTGCATAAGTGTTGTGAGTGTTGCATGCTGCATGAGTGTTGTGAGTGTTGCATGTTGCATGAGTGTTGTGAGTGTTGCATAAGTGTTGTGAGTGTTGCATGTTGCATGAGTGTTGTGAGTGTTGCATTTGCATGAGTGTTGTGAGTGTTGCATAAGTGTTGTGAGTGTTGCATAAGTGTTGTGAGTGTTGCAGTCAAGTGTTGTGAGTGTTGCATAAGTGTTGTGAGTGTTGCATGTTGCATGAGTGTTGTGAGTGTTGCATGTTGCATGAGTGTTGTGAGTGTTGCATGAGTGTTGTGAGTGTTGCATAAGTGTTGTGAGTGTTGCATAAGTGTTGTGAGTGTTGCATAAGTGTTGTGAGTGTTGCATGTTGCATGAGTGTTGTGAGTGTTGCATGTTGCATGAGTGTTGTGAGTGTTGCTTTTTGGGGATTTTGTGTTTTGGGAGTGTTGCATAAGTGTTGTGAGTGTTGCATAAGTGTTGTGAGTGTTGCATATGAGTGTTGTGAGTGTTGCATGCTGCATGAGTGTTGTGAGTGTTGCATGAGTGTTGTGAGTGTTGCATGTTGCATGAGTGTTGTGAGTGTTGGATGAGTGTTGTGAGTGTTGCATGAGTGTTGTGAGTGTTGCATGCTGCATGAGTGTTGTGAGTGTTGCATGTTGCATGAGTGTTGCATGCTGCATGAGTGTTGCATGTTGCATGAGTGTTGCATGCTGCATGAGTGTTGTGAGTGTTGCATGTTGCATAAGTGTTGTGAGTGTTGCATGTTGCATGAGTGTTGCATGTTGCATGAGTGTTGCATGTTGCATGAATGTTGCATGCTGCATGAGTGTTGTGAGTGTTGCATGCTGCATGAGTGTTGTGAGTGTTGCATGCTGCATGAGTGTTGTGAGTGTTGCATGCTGCATGAGTGTTGTGAGTGTTGTATGTGTTGCATGAGTGTTGTGAGTGTTGCATGCTGCATGAGTGTTGTGAGTGTTGCATGTTGCATGAGTGTTGCATGCTGCATGAGTGTTGCATGTTGCATGAGTGTTGCATGCTGCATGAGTGTTGTGAGTGTTGCATGTTGCATAAGTGTTGTGAGTGTTGCATGCTGCATGAGTGTTGTGAGTGTTGTATGTGTTGCATGAGTGTTGTGAGTGTTGCATGTTGCATAAGTGTTGTGAGTGTTGCATGTTGCATGAGTGTTGTGAGTGTTGCATTAATATAGATATGTGCACACGTGCGTGTGAGTACAGGTGTGTAAACAAGTGTAACCCAGTGTACAGATGCAGCTATGACAGTTGTACAGGGTAGACGAGGACAACACTGGGCAGGTAAGGTACACACTCTGCATAGTACATACTCTACCTACTATGTAGAGTAGGTACACTATTATAATAATAATAATAATAATAATAATAATAATAATATCTTTATTTACTACAAGTACATATACCATATAGGCCTGGTCACAGACCGGGCCGCGGGGGCGTTGACCCCCGGAACTCTCTCCAGGTAAACTCCAGGTAATACAAGGTATACAAACCATCAGTGACATACTACTTTATGGAAAGTCGCTTGTTATGCTGAGCATTTCCCTCAGATCAGGTCAGTTTTGTCCCAGGATGCAACCCACACCAGTCCACTAACACCCAGGATGCGACCCACACCAGTCCACTAACACCCAGGATGCGACCCACACCAGTCCACTAACACCCAGGATGCGACCCACACCAGTCCACTAACAACCAGGATGCGACCCACACCAGTCCACTAACACCAGGATGCGACCACACCAGTCCACTAACCAGGATGCGACCCACACCAGCATAACACCCAGGATGCGACCCACACCAGTCCACTAACACCCAGGTGCCCATTTTACTGATGGGTGAAGATAGACAACCAGTGTAAGGAAACACGTGTGTTTTCACTCCTTCTCGGGGAATCGAACCCGGACCCTCACCATGTGAAGCAGAGCTTTTGCCAGCAGGCCACGGGGCACCGTATATATATATATATATATATATATATATATATATATATATATATATATATATATATATATATATATATATATATATTATATATATATTATGTATTATATATTATATTGAAATATATAGAGGTAGGACCTGCGTAGATAGGCCAGTAGGCCTAGAAGACAGAAAAGAAAATGAAAGCCAGATTAGAATCTGAAACTAAATTTGCCTTGGTGCAGTAGGTGGCCTGGTGGCCTGGTGGCTAAAGCTCCCGCTTCACACACGGAGTTTCCGGGTTCGATTCCCGGCGGGTGGAAACATTTCGACACGTTTCCTTACACCTGTTGTCCTGTTCACCTAGCAGCAAATAGGTACCTGGGTGTTAGTCGACTGGTGTGGGTCGCATCCTGGGGGACAAGATTAAGGACCCCAATGGAAATAAGTTAGACAGTCCTTGATGACGCACTGACTTTCTTGGATTATCCTGGGTGGCTAACCCTCCGGGGTTAAAAATCCGAACAAAATCTTATCTTATCTCTTAAGGATGTGATGATGTGGGTTATTGAAGGAGATAAATGATGGGGGTGAGTAGTTGAAGGAGGATATAGTGAGGGAAGGAGGGTAGAGGGAGGGAAGGGGGGGGGTAATGAGGAGGGAGATGAGAGGCAGGGATCTGGTCAGCACACAAACAGTGAGGTTGTGTGTTGGTTTGTCTTATAGTACTCACCTATTTGGGTTGCTGGGGTCTTTCGCGCCCCGGGCCCAGTGTGGTGTGTGTCTCTCTCGCGATTTTGCAACCTTAAAGGGCCTATGGTCCATAATTTCAATAATACTAAAAAGCATTTTCCAGATAGTATGTATATATATATATATATATAATATATAAAATTATTTTATATTTATTTATTAATATATATAATACAAAATTTAATATATACATATATTTATTATTTTTATTATATAATATTATATATTAATATATTTTAAATATATATTTTATATTATTAAAATTTATTAGTGTGAATTTTAAATTTGGCATGGGGTGAAATACGACATTTATTTGGAAAATTAATGTTTATTTGAAAAATACAAGGTAATGATGTGGCAGATAATTGATTTAATGAAAGATATGATTACCTTTGTTATAAGCATTGCTACACACTGTGGGATATAATCCTCCAATGTTGAACATATTTTGGCAAATTCTTCGTGGTGGTACCAGGTCCTAATAACAACAATAATTAGCTTCTCCACAGTTGAACTGTCCTGTTTAACGATCCTGTATTCGGTTATTACTCAAAGATTCTCAGTTGGGTTGAGGTGAGGAGAGTTTCCAGGTCAATTTAGAATGTTTAGTCCACTCTGTTCGAAGAACGTCAGCAGTTTTCTGGAAGCGTGACATGGACCAAGATCCTGCTGGAAGATGCCTTCTACATCAGGAAAGTTGCCAGGATTGCACTGTATATGTCACTATTCATTGTTCCCACAACAATAAGAAGCCACACACGGCCTTTAGCGGTAAAACTACCCTAATACATCTTCTTAGGGGGATGTTTTGGTGCTTGTTTAATATGACCATTCCGAAGAGGTTGACCTTTGCTCCGCCTCATTACCACTGATCTGTAGTCTGTACCCATGTACTTAAAAATGACTGACCTCCGCAGCCATTTTTTCTTCCTAGCAGCAGTCATTACTTCAGTACCAACTTTCTGGCAGTTCTGCCAACTTCAAGAGCCTTCATGCTGGCTTAGTAACCTTCACACTATTTCTTATGATAACCTCGTCATCGTGATATGTTATCTTGCGTTTTCTTCCACATCTTCCTAGACGCAGCGCTCCACAATCAGAGTGTTGTCAACTCTCTTCAGAATCCCACCAATATTTGACTTTGCTCGGCTAATATTTTCGGCGATCTGATATTTAAATCAGCATGTTTTTTAAGAGCTACAATACTTGCACGCTTCCTAGGTGTAACATCTATCATGAATTTCAGCAGTAATCAAGAACTGAAGGGGAGAATCTGGTGAAACATTCACTCATGGAGCATGCTTGCAGGAATAGCCTTACAGAACAACAACTGTTGTAGCACTGACGAGAGTCGTAGGGTAACATCACAGCTGGATGGCTGAAAATAAAAGAACCCAAAATACATTAAGCCACAAACTAAGACATGAGATAATCACAAAATTTACTCTTGTTCCAATTTATTTATACACTGTTGCATAAACATGCAAACAGGTGAAGGAGCTATACTCACCTGAGTGTTGCTAGTGTGTTATGTGAAGGTGCAACACTCACCTGAGTGTTGCTAGAGTGTCAGGTGAAGATGTAACACTCACCTAAGTGCTCCTAGAGTGTTGCTAAAGTGTCAGGTGAAGATGCAACACTCACCTGAGTGCTCCTTGAAGGGAAGGTGAAGGTGATGCTCGTAGCTCCTGGTCTGGAGACGGAAGTGTTGATAGCAGCTACGGTAGAAGGGTCCAGCATCAGGTCCTGGGCCGCCTGCGCTGCCTCCAGGAAGTCCTCAGTCTCAAGCTCCTCCACCCTCCTCACGCCCACGCCTACGGTCACCAGCGCACCCCTGGCGAAGTGGGCGTGGTAGGGCGAGGGTGGGCGTGAGTCCTGGGGGCTCGTGTCCCTGGGGGAGGCCGCCGGGGCGGTTGGGGTAGGTCTATGGGCCGCTCTGGGGGCGTTCATGGCCCCTGGGCGGCGTTTAGGGCTGGGTTCCCCATGGGGGCCCCTAGGGGAAGGTTCTCCTGGGCCCCTAGGTGAGGGGTCCCCTGGGGGGCCCCTAGAAGAGGCTTCCCCTGGCCCCTAGGTGAAGGATCCCCTTGGGGGACTCTTGGGGAGGGTTCCCCAGGTAAAGCCCTAGGGGAGGGTTCCCCTGGGGGGCCCCTAGGGCTGGTGGGTAGCGTCAGATCAGGGGGCCTGGACCTCACCTTCCCCTGGGGCAACATGGGGTCCCTTTCAATCAGTCCTCTGAGAGCCGGGGGTCCCAAGGCTCTCACCACAGGCGTGGGTCGCTCCAGGGGCGGGTATGGGCGGTGCCCATGGCGTGGGTACTCCCTGAGGAAGTGGGTAGCTGCTCCTGGGGGTAGAAAGTGGTGTGGGTAGTACCCCGTGGGTCGGTGGAGCCCAGGGTAGTGTGGGTAGTAGTCCGTGAGTGTGGGCGTGGGCGGCTGCGGGTACTGCAGGTGGTCCGTGTGCGGCGCGGGCGTGATGTGAGCCACCTGAGCCAGCCAGGGGGCGGTGAAGGGCTGCAGCTGGTGTCCCATACCCACCCCGCCCACCTCCTTCTCGCCCAGAGTGTTCTTGTTGTGGTCGAAGGCGCTGCCCACGCCGCCCTTGTAGGCGGGGGAGGCAGTGTGGTCGGGCAGGCCCAGGGTGGGCACCCGGGGGCCGCCCACCACCCGCCCACCCTCGCCCATCTCGCGACTGAAGCTGGAAGTTACTATCATACCTCCTGAAACACAACAAACTCACGTCAGTTGGCAGAAATTGGCATAAATTAGCATAAATTAGCGAAACTTGGCCAGAAATGGGTATAAATTAGCAAAAATTAGCAAAAATGTATAAATTACCAAAAATTAACATAAAATTAGTATAAATTAGCAAAAATTGGCATAAAATTTCCTTAATTTGGAGTTTATTTGCAGAAAATTACAATAAAATTAACCAGAATTGACAGAAATTTTTAGTAAATTTGGATAAATTGGGAGAAAATTGAAATTAAGAGAAAAATTGGGTTAAACTAACAAATTTGAAAAAAATCACATAATAGGGAAAAAACTGAAATTACTGAAAATAGGAAAAAAACGAATAAAATTTAAAATAAAATGCAATAAATTAAGACAAATGAGAATTGGGATAAATTGTTGAAAATTGGAATAAATAGAATGAACTTTGCCTAAATTGGGAATAAATGCTGAATACCAGGATAAATTGGTATAAAGAATAAACTGGGATAATCTGGGAATAAATTTGGATAATCAGACATAAGAGTGTGTTCTCTGATCTGAAAATTGGCTGCAAGAAACATTTGCCCATCAGACATCATACCCTTGAGCACTCTGAACACTCAGTAGTGATTGGAACACCTGTCCCGTAGCTCGATCGCTAGTGCACTCAGCTCACACACAGTGGTCTGGAGTTTGAATCTTCTCCGGTACGGCTGGAAAACATTAGGGACGTGTTTCCATAAGACACCTGCTGTCCCTGTTCATTCATCAATAAAATGGATGCCTGGGTGTTAGTCGACTAGTGTGGGTTGCATCCTGGGACAAAACTGACCTAATTTGCCCGAAATGCTCAGCATAACAAGCGGCTGTCTATATAGTAGTATGTCATTGATGTCAGTTAGGCCTTTATACCATGTACATGTACTTGTAGTAAATAAATATATTTTTGTTATAACACAGACCCATCAGCCATCACCCTGGAACAGTAAGTAAATGCAAAACACTGTTAGATATCTTAATGCAGATCTGAACCAGTGGCTAGCAAGGATCAACTCAGCGGTACTTGAGGTAAGGTGAAGGCACATTGTAATAAAGAAAAAGAAGAGATGTAAACTAGAAAGAGAGAGATGCTCCCTCTATAGGTGGAGGTGAAGAATCACAAAGCTTCTCCAAGGGAACAGTCTATCAGTCTATCTGGAATACGGAAGGAGGCACAGGCTACAGAAATAGAAAATATTGAACTTCAGTTTCATGATTCATACAGCAGCCAGGAACTTCAAGCAATAAATGAAATTGAAAGAATTTCTAAATATTTAATTTATGTCAAATCTAGAGCAAAACCTACATCCAGTATTGCGTCCTTGTTTACACAAGATGGGACTTACACTGATGACAACATAGAAATGAGAGATATACAGAAGTCTCAGTATAATTCAGTGTTTAGTGAACTGTTAATCAGACAAAGGTTGACAATCTGATATAGCACTAACATCACTGGACTTCGAAAAATAATTAACAACATGGCCGTGCACTCTGCCCCTGGACCAGACTGGTGGAATTCTGTGTTCATCAAGAACTGCAAGAAATACCTTTCACAGGCCTTCAATATTCTATGGAGAGGGAGCCTAGACACAGGGCTTATCCCACAGTTACAGACATAAGCCTACTCCACAAAACTGACAGTAAAGAATTGCAAAGAATTATAGATAAATAACACTAATGTCCCACATTATAAAAAATCTTTGAAAGGGTTCTAAGAACCAAGATCCCCAATCACTTGGATACGAACAATTGCACAACCCAGGGCAGCATGGGTTCAGAGTAGGTCACTCCTGCCTCTCACAACTATTGGACCACTATGATATGGTCTTTGATGGTAACTCGTGCCTCTCACAGCTACTGGACACTATGACATGATCTTGTGTACGTATGGTATGTAATACCGACAAGATGAGAGTAAGACACTTGTGCAACATCTGGGTATCTTTATTGTAGACGTTTCGCCATCCAGTGGCTTTATCAATACAAATTCTAGGACATAACTTGAAGACAGTAGAACTATGTACAGAAGATGAGGTAATCAGTCCCTCAACCTAGGAGTATGGTGCTGTTCGCACCTACTCCTAGGTTGAGGGACTGATTACCTCATCTTCTGTACATAGTTCTACTGTCTTCAAGTTATGTCCTAGAATTTGTATTGATAAAGCCACTGGATGGCGAAACGTCTACAATAAAGATACCCAGATGTTGCACAAGTGTCTTACTCTCATGACATGATCTTGAATGGTCGTTCCTGCCACTCACAACTACTGGACCAATATGACATTTTCTTGTGTGGCATGCAAACAGTACGTTACAATTCATTCAGCATATGTCCCACTCCCATATAGGCTGCCTCCCAACCAGCAAACAGGGTGTTAAGGGTTTAATGATTATTAGGGTACCTGTTGTTAAATCAATACCTTGGTTCATTGAGTAATCACAAGCAAGCTCACCAAGTGCTGAGGCAATGTGGTTAACTTGCTGTCAACATTTGCCAGACTTGCCTAACTGCTGGTTGAGCACAGTGCTCTCTCTTTGGCTTTTCTTTTGTCATTCTCTTACAATCCTGTGATACACTTACTGTTCAGTCTCTGTACATATTGTACATAAGTGTATATATATATATATAATATATATATATATATATATATATATATATATATATATATATATATATATATATATATATATATATATATATATATATATTTAGCAAATTATATCTGGTGAAGGAAATACGAGTTATAGTCTATCTGCTGAGTTTGTTTTGCTCCAAAACCCATTATGACCAGGTCACAGGTCATTCATAACCTGTGTTCATATTATCTTGGATGGTCGCTCCTGCCTCTCACAACTACGGGCCACTGTCGGGAGACAGACAACAAAAGTTTTCAACAGATCGATCAGGTGTAATAGCCCCCCACCACCACTAATACCACTACCACAACCACCACATTTCCCACCACCAAAACCCACCACAGCAACCACCACAACCACCACAGAAACCCACCACTACCACCACCACAACCACCAACCACCACCATACCACCACCACCCTACAACCCCTTCACTACCACAACTACCAACATTTTAATCACATTTTACAGCTTTTAATATAAATAAATATCGAAAAAATTTCCATGGTGAAAATATATTGCTCACGATTCTTATACAAGATTATACAGCTTGTTGTGGGAAAATACTTTTAAATTTTTCCCGGAAATATGGTAATTTACGGGTAGATGTCCTATTTTGTATATAATAAAAATTAATTACAAAAAAGGGGAAAAAGCTGCGCCTCACAAAAGGACACGCCATTACTTTTTGAATGAACAGACGTTTGAATAAGGGGAAAATTTTTCGTGCCAGGGGTTTAAAAAATTTTGGGTTTTGCCCACCTCAAATAGGAGGCGAAATTGTTGGATGTGTATTCCGCATAATTTGAGATATAGGCGACGGGACAGACAATCCAGGAACCCAATAAGCCTCTAATTTTGTTTAAAATTCTGGCCAGAAAATTTTTTCATATAGGAAAAAGGGGGGGGGGGGGGGGTCCTGTACAGCCACATTAACTCCTCAAATTGGTGAGGATTTTTAAGATTTTTTCCTTCTTTTTATGTAAAGTGTGAATTATAATCTTTTTTTTTTTTTAATATACATCCAAATTTATATTTTTTACCAAAATTCCTGGTGATGATTTCATTTATAATTAAAGGTCCAAGCAACTTTGTGGATATGACAGTGGTAGGTTTCGAAGGGAAAAATTTTTGCGACCTAGGTGTCCCAAATTCCTACTATCAACTGATAATAAAACTTTGTTCTTTTTACTTTTAGAACATAAGTACTTCAATAAATCAATTTTCCACATTTAATTCCCCTTTGGCCTTCTTAAACCCGAGGTAATTAGTGAAGTCATTAATAGTTATTTTTAAATAATTATATTGAAATACAAGGAGGCGGAGTTAAATTCACAAATTTACTTAATGTGTAGGATTAAAAAATTTAAAAAAATTAATTTTGAAAAGCTAAGCTAAAGGGGTGGCTATAGATTATAAAATGTGTAAATTTTAAATTTTTTCAAGCCAAAGTGGCTGGGATTTTTACTAATGTTTTTGTACAATTTTAAATTTTTGAAAAAATTCTGGCCAAGATTTATATCAGTGTATGTGTAATTGATAACCCAAAGTGTAGCTAATTATTTGGTAAAAATTAATTTTGCGTGCCAAATTCGGGGCAAGGATTTATTTTAATTGGCATAATTTTTTTTGATAACCGATCGGGCTAAATTTTGTTTTAAAGGGTACATTTGAAGTTTATATTATTTTCTTACATGTAATTGCTAAGCCAATTTCGGGATTTATTCAAAGGAAAGTTGAAATCATGTTTTAAAAAAGTTAAATTTTAAACATTACACATGGCAAAAATAGGAAATTTAAATAAAGACAAACTATGAATAAGAGTAAAGAAAGCATCACGCAAGTAGAAAAGGGCTTTAAACCAAGGCATATAATAAATTTTTTGGAAATTTAATAAATCAAGAAACTGTGAATACTGTGTTTTTAAAATTTAATTTAGTGCTTTAGGGAAAGATATGATTCATAAAATTTAATTTTACAACAAATATGAAGGAGTTTTTTTTAGTAAACGTGTTGATGAACAAAAGTAATCTTATTTTAATCAGTATTATAAAATAAGGAAAAGATTCTTTCTTGAAAAAGTCGGGCCTTGAAAAAATTTAAAAAATGTGTAAACCAGCATTTTTAATCACCCTGCCCAACAAACAATAGCCCTTTGCCAAAACCCCAGAATTTGTTTACCTGTGTTTAAAATCCTGGGAAACTGGGGGGATTTTTTTTGGTCAATTTTTAAACAGCTGTGATGACGGGGAGTGACCAGCCGTGAAACAAAATTTTTTTACCCCAAAGGACGGGAAGAGGAGATGCTCAATACTCAACAAC